GTAATCCCACTAACTCAATTAGGTGCCAATTAGGCCCTTAACATGGTTGAATTAGGCCAGTTGAACAAGCCCATTCATCACCTGAAGTCACGGCTGGCGGTGGCACTGCTTGGGACTCAATCTCCCAGGTGCTGTGGGTGGTGGAACTGCCTAGACTAGGCAGTGGTACCACCAATAGTTAATACTATCAAACGGTGGTACCGCTTTGTCAAGCGGTGCTACTGCCAGAGCTCGATCTCTGAAGCTTTGTCAAGCAATCGTACCGCCCAGTATCAGTCTCCAGGCGATAGTATCGCCCAATAATAATGGTGTACTACTAGTACCTCGAAATCTGTGGATGTGACACTTTTTAGCTCCAATTCTGAAGCCATTGGGGCCTATAAATACCTTAGCTTCTTCTGCATAAAAGGGTAAGAAAGTATGAACAAAATCTTGAATTCTTTGGGTGTTAAAAGTATTATAAAAGTGTAAGAGTCCTCCTCCTCCCCCTCCCTTTGTAAGTATTGAGATCATTAAAGAGAGGTATGAGACTTGTAAGAGTTATCTCCTAAACCCGTAAAAAGGAGAAAGCGCCGTAAAGAGATGGTTGGTCTTTGCCTATTAAAGGAAGATCATTAGTGGACACTGGTGACCTCAACGAAGGAGAAATCAGAAGTGGATGTAGGTCACACCGACCGAACCATTATAAATTCTGGTTTGTATTTCTATTATTGCTACTTACTTACTTTGCAATAGCTTCACTTCCTTTGTACTTGACTTTCACTACCCTTACGATCAAACACGCTTTCAAGTTATCTTCCGAGATCATTTTTAACATACAAAAAATTTTAAACCGATGTTTTAATCCGCTGCACTAATTCACCCCCTCTCTTAGTGCCGACTCGATCCTAATAGTATTATCGTTACTTTAGGATCCCAAATTTTTGGAAGAGATCTTAGAATCCTGTTTAGAAGTTTGAGATTAGAAAAATATTTACCAAGAGCTTTCAAGCCATTGACAATATTCGTAAAATGGGTGTATATGTCAACAATGGTTTCGCTTGGCTTCATTCGAAAAAGTTCAAAAACATACATCAAAAGATTTATTTTAGACTCTTTAACTCTAGTCGTGCCTTCATGAGTTACTTCCGGTGTGTACCAAATGTCATGTGCAGTTTCACAAATCGAAATACGATTAAACTCATTTTTGTCTAAAGCGTAAAATAGAGCATTCATAACTCTATCATTTAAAGAAAAAAAATATTTAAACTATTCCATTCGTTATTGGATTAGAAGACTTTTGAAAATAATATTCGATAATATTCCATAAATTCAAATCCATAGAAAGAAAGAAAACTCTCATTGAGTTTTTCAATACATGTAGTCCATCTCATTGAACATGAGAGGACGAATAATAGAAAGACCCTCTTGATAGTCGATAAAAGCTATTTTCTTGAGTGTTAAACCAAACGAGAAAAACCTTCGCTCTGATACTAACTGTTATGACCGAAATCTGACACTAAGCAGGGAGGGTGAATTAGTACTTTCATAAAATCACGTCGGTTTAAAAATTCTCGTTTGATGAAAATCGATATCGAAAAAGAGTTTAACTTAAAAGCATTCATAAGCATAGTAAATAAGTAAATCGATTTGTAATATAAATGAAAAGCATAAAGTAAATGCAAACCGGATTTATAGTGGTTTGGTCATCATGACCTACATCCACTCTCGATTCTTCTTCACTCGAGGCCACCGACTTCCACTACCAATCTTCTTTCAATGGGAAAAGATCAACAACCCGTACAACTCTTTATCCTTTTCATAGGCTCAGGAGAGAACCTTTTACACATCTCTTTTAGACCTCACTCCTCCCTTAGAAAACTTCTAACTCTAGGAGGAAGAGACTCTAAATCCTAAGAGAGTTTCTAATTTTTTTCTCAAGTATTCTTTCCCCATTTTCTACTTAATTTCATGTCATTCTAAGCAGAAATATCTGAGATATTTATAGACCCCAAATGACTTTAAAAATAGAGCCAAAAAAGGTCTTATCCTAGGTTTTTCGGGTCCTAGCGGTACCACCATATAGACTTACAGTACCACCACCTAACATAATTTGGGAGACTCTATCTGGGCGGTACCACCGCCTGGGCTAGCTATAGGTCACTGAATGGGCTTTCCACTTGGACCAAAATAGCCCTAATTCGGGCCTAATTGACCCCTAATTGAGTTGGCATTGTTTCACCTCAATACCGACTCAATTAGACCTAAACTAACTTGATATATATATATAATTGATTACAAGCCTCCTATTTTAATCGATTTATCTTTTCTAATCGATGTTACTCCTACGTCACTCAAAATGCATATTAAATTGTAAACTCATCAATTGATTTCATCATTAAAATCTGAGATTCAATAGTAAGTTCCTTCATTAATGTGTTAGTTAATGACTTATCAACATATTTAAATTTGTCTTCAATAACTCTTAAATATTTCTGTGTACTAGTTGCAAGTGGTAATGAAGACTATATGTTATTTGTAATCGTCATTCTTATAAACATTAAATTAAGCCTATTAAATTTTCTAAGCATTTATCTCATTAATTTATTCTACGGTGCTTTCATTAGTAAAGTTTACAGACCTTTCAACAAGTAATACTAGGTCAATATCTAATATGCCTAGTGTAAACTACACATGCTCTAACCATTCTGAATAATTTGAAATATGGAATACAAGGATATGATAAGCATTAGAGTGTTTGAAAGAAAGTATCATTGTAAAATATAAAATAATATTAATGTTTTGAGTTTTCAAGATATGATGACTATTGATATATCTATTATTTACTCAAAATTATCTATCGATGATAAATACCATCATTGTTACCTTTGAAATTCCAAAATAGTATCATCCTATCCCATCACATTATTATTTTAAATAAATTCTCATTTAAGATTATTTAAATCTTCTAATTATGTGTGTCATTATAAATATTATATTCTTAATATCATTTAGGACTAATTTTTTAATATAATTTTATAAATTATTGGTTTAGACCATCTTGGCGGTTACAAGACCAATGCAATAATATAAAATATAAATATTTTTATAAATAATAAAATATTTATTATGATTTATATCTTAAAACCTATCATTTTGAGCTACTTTGAATTGCAAATAATATTTACTAAGTATCCTTTAGTCTAATTTACGTCAAAATATTTTATTAATAATAAAATAATAACCATAATAATTATTAAACGTTAATCAGTATAAATAAAAATTCATATGATAATTATAATCATGATAAAATATAAAATGTCTTTATGTAAAAAATAAACATGATTTCACAATATTAAAGATATATATGTGAATAACTAAAAAAATATCTAAAAATAATAATTGAAGTTTAATTATCATATGCAAAAATATGTCATATGAAAAAACTATAAGAGACTACTATAATTTATATTTGTTTAATTTCACAGAGAATCCTAAATTTGACCAATCAATCGTATTTAATTAGATAAGTCTAAAATTGGGCTAAACATTAATCCAATTAAGTCAGAAATTAAAATTAATCAAAAATTTAACTTTCCCTAGATTCAATATCAAACCTAAATCTAATCAAATAGTAAAAAGACAATCATGATTAGATCGAATCAAAATATTTGATTAAAAATAAATCATAATAGTTAATTTTATAATTAAGGATATAAGTCAAAGTTTCTTAATTTCTGAGGGGTCAAACCATAATTTTAATAGGATATATAATAGAATTATATAGTTTCTGAATGGTAGAACTATCAAAAAGATATAAATTAGAATTAAAAGGATTTATAAAGGTAAAACTATAATTTTAAAATCAAAACCCTAATTCTTTCCCTTGCGGGATTTGGTTGACAACCACCAACGATCATCGCCCTGAATAATATTGTTATCGATAATAAGGTGTTGACGGTGGTCTAGTGATGAAATGCAAGAATCCTTACATTGCTTGTAAATAGGTGACATAACGAATTAAATAGAAAAGTAAATCAATAATATACATAAATTATTCAAGTATTATAAACTAAAATCAAATAATATCTTTTTGCAAACAAAGAGTACTAACAAATGAATTTAAGGTATTGACTTTGATACTAATTATAAGCATAAAAACTATGATTATGCTACTATTATGTGAAAAGCTTTAATGTCAGAAATTAAAACCAAATAATGATGGGTCGGATTTACGATACATATATTTCAATATCATCCAAAAAAAATTTATTTGATACATAAGTGTACTATTGTTGGATTTAAAAGTCACAGCGATATCAATCTGTAATGATAATTAGATTTATCTTCTTTTCTCTTTCTATCATTCATAAGACCACTAAGAATAATGAATTAGGGACAAAGAGAAATTAAAAATATCTGTCATCTTGATTATTTCGTTCAGATTTTATCTTTTTATAAATAAAAATAAAAGATCTAATACGATAATTATAAGGGTCTCTCCTAATATTCTAATTAAACTTTCTTCTTATTAATCATTGATTATCATCAAAATTTAAATAAATCTATAATACATTTTATCTAATTAGATATAACCATATAAAAAAATCTAACGAGTACTGTTCCCAAAAACAGAGACTCAAGAAAGAGAAATCAAACCAAGAGTTGGTGGTGCGCGTTAATCAAATGTCACACATCGGCCAAGCAGAGTCAAGTCAACCAACTACTGCTTGTTTCGTGAATCAGTATACCCGTAGACAGCTCATTCGGCCGAGTCTAAACACAACCCGTAGGCCGAATCCTGCCTCGACTTATTCTTCTAAGCCCCTTAGCTCCCTTCGTCGGTTGGTCATTTACTGTTCCGATATCCAATTCCGGTGAAGCGGCTGCTCGGGGCCCCATAGCGAGCACAAATCGTTTGCGAAATCAAATTTGATGGTTAATGTGGGACCCGCGTAGGGACCATCGGGTCGCTCACTCCTCGAGTTTAATCTCCTCGAGCCCGAATCGTTCGTATTTTTCGTGTTCCCGAAACCCGACCCACCTTTTCGTCTCTCTCTCTCTCTCTCGCTCCGGTCAATATCCGCCCCTTCCCATCAGTTCTGTCACCCCGGAGATCGATCGACGATCACCGACCGCCTCCTCCTCAATGGACGAGTTTTCCGGCATCCTCGATCGTGATTTCGGGCTCCGGCCGCAGGGCAAGTCTACCCCCATAGCCTCCCCCAGCACCGCCGCCACCGTAGGAGGAGGGCGCGGAGAAGGCCCAAACCTTTGGTCCGTCCGGGACGGATCCTCCGACTCGACCTCCTCGTGGGAGAATCCATCATCCGGCTGGAACTCCGCCTCGATCGGCGACCCCTTCCTCCGGGATCGCGGAGCTGGCATCTCGAAGGATTATGATTATGTCTTCGTAGGCGTTCCTGCGAACTCGAGTTGGTCCTCTCGTGGACAGTATGCCTCGTCTTCATCGCCGTCGAACTTTGACTCCATATTCAACGGCTTTGCGGATTCCGGGACGAAGTCCTCGTCATCTTTGCCCGTGTACGATAAGCCGGTATATGACGACGATATATTCGACGGGGTTCCTGGCACGAAGAGCTCGTCATCGGTTAAGTATGACGATGCTTTTGCTTCCCTTTCATCAGGATCTAATCATGTTTCCGCACCACCGTATGAGGATCTCCTTGAGAACCTGGGGAAGCAAATGCCGGAGTCAAGAGCCGGTAGTGATAAGAGATCTGGGGAGAAGGAGGAGCAGGATATGTCAGGGTTCGATGAGCTAATTCCTGGATTCGGTAGGAGCAGCCCACCGAAGAAAAGGTATGATCTGTGATTCGTAGGCAGACTTGATTAATTCTCTTTTGTTAGATCTCACAATTGTTTCAGTATATGGTATTTTTTACCCTGACAGATGAATTTGGGTCATCAATGCATAGAAAGTTTTACTTAGGTTAATTTGCTATAAAACTAAGGGCTTCTGTTTTCATGCAATATTTCCACGTGTTAAAGAGAGATACTACCAGTTTGTTTTAATGACTTTTTAAGCTGATTTCCATGATTGTGGAATTATATGCTTTGCGAGTTTAAATTTTCTGCCTTTTATTTCACTATAAAGTATAAACTATGTTTATTGTCATATCTTACAATTATTTGACATGTGGACAATGAACTTTCTTGGTGTACAGAGATAAAGAAGGTTCATTTTGATCTACTAACGTTGAATGCTTCGTAAGTGGTAAGAACAATAGCTTTTATAAACATTAGATGACACATGCTGCTTAAAATGGGCATGAATTTCTTACAATTGTTTATTAGAAATAGGGTGAAGAATATAATACTACAGTCTGCTCTTTTTTACTTGTGCAATCATTAGTCCAGAGCTATAGGAGACAGATCTCAAGGAGGTAATTTTAACAACAGATACCAGTACACCAGCGAATATTGGCCACATCCTCATAAAAATCCACTATATAGCACTCAGCAACAAGAGCTAGGATTATGTTATCCTCACAATGGTTGAGTAACCCTGCATACTGTATATGATGTAGTAGCAGTGAAAAAATTAATTAGTCGCTCACTGCTGCAGGCCTCAGTGAAAATAGAGTGGAAAATGTTTCAGTGAATGATGATAAGTTCAGCATGAATTGAGGCCATCAACCTCTTCAAGTCATTGGGAAGTTCTGAATAGACTTCAAATTTATGGGAGGTCGTGCAGGTCTGAAAACTTTAGAACTGGCACGTATTGGCCCTAACAATTAAATTTCACAAGGTTTGTGAAAGTGGGAGAGATCAGCCTGTTCTGAACATCCCCGAACCTCCTGTTGGTAATAGTCACCCGTTCGGAGTCAGTTGGGCATCAACAGAACGACACTATACTTGTCTAGTACTCATTACCCATTTAGTCACATTAGATTATGGCTTGTTTTAGTTGCTACCTTTTCAGAGTCAGTCAGGCATCAACCGGACAAGACTACAATTGTTTGGTAATTGTTACCCATTTTGTCACATTAGATTTTGGCTTATTCAAGTATTTGAATTTATAAGTGAGGTTAATGTTTTGTTAATTGGCTTGGGTTTTCATAAAAGTTTGAGTGATGTGGTATATGATTATAAACTGCACAGTTTTTGTGAATGTGAATTTTGACTCGAATGTTTCTCAGTGTCCTCAAATGTTAGTTTGGATCCTGGATTGAACTGTGATGAAATTTTAATATTATTGATTTAAGACAGAGTCACACCTCTTGAATGTGATAATTCGGAGGGGCGGGATAGAGGACCCTTGGAAAGTTTGGGTTTTAGATTGGACATGGCCAATCTCACAATTAAGTGTTTTGCATGTCTTGTACGCTTTATTATTTACTGTTCCATGTACGCTTTATTATTTACTGTTCCATGCATGCCAAGTACAGTATTAAATAGGTTCCAGTATACCATGTTCCTTGGTTCACTTTGCATCTGCCTCTGGTGTTTAATGCTGTGAACTATTTGAACTGTGTGCTTTGCCTGCCCTGACACCTTTTTCAATATTTTGGTTCTGTGGAATAACATAGAAATGTTAGAAATGCTGGTAGGCCTCTTGGCTGGTATAACTTAAAGAATTACAAAAATATACTAACACAGTTTATGTGCAATGTTGAGTCCATAACCAATGCATACATCTTAAGACTGCAATATCAGCAATCAGTATCGCCAATGTATATACATCTGAATCAATGAGATGACTTTCCATTGACATGCTTTCTTTAATTTGATATTATTTATGTTTAATACAGGCCAGTTGTATCCATGTCGAATTGGTTCTCTGTTGACATCTTATTCTTCTCATGTGTTTGTCTAGCATTTTTTGTAATTTACAATTTTGCCATTTAGTTCCATCAAGAGCCATAAAAACTCCATATAAGGGTCAAGTTCGTTTCCAGTTAGAGAATCTAGTTATCTCCATCTCTTTTCTTGCAAATTCTAATAGATTTTTCTTTGATCTTTCTTTTCCTCTTATAGAACTTTGAATTTGGATTATTTTAATTTCCACCTGTGCCACAGTGGTTTCGTTGGATCTTATTGTTGACTGCTGCTACCTTGATTTTAACACTCCCAGGCATTTCTCATTTGAACCTTTCTAAAGCCGGTCAATGAATTCTATAATCTCCTCTTAAATTTTAATCAATCTAATACTTAAGAGCATCACTCCCAAATAGTTCAATGTTCTGGCAGGTGGAACAATGGCTGATCAAATAAGTAATTAAGTATATTGGAGAATTATTTTAGAATAAGAGCTATCCAGTGATCACATTACACAATACTCCTTGAATCCATGTACAACTTTTAGAAGTTTACCTCTTTTTAATAATTGCTTGAAGTTGAATCAAGTTTTTGCCTTTTGTTTTATGTTGGCCATATTTTCAAGTTTCAACTAGACCTGCGTCTCTTACCTTAGTGTTACTAATATCCCATTTAAACAACTTTGTCTTTTCCTGACATGACATACTTTGTACTTTAGTAGTCCTAAGTCTTTATATTTCGTTCAAAATTTCTAATTGAATCTTTATTCTTACATATGCTTGTCAATAAAAAGAATCATTACAAAGAACAAGAAACTCTAGATATCACCAGATCTCTACCTAAATATACACAATAAGCTTATGAATAATTAGATTAAATAGTCAAGATTCCAACTTTGAGGTGCATGATATCGAAAACAATAGTTTATCCTTTGAGTTCTATATTATAAAAAATGGAGATTAGGCTTCTACTTAAATAGAAGAAGGCTTAGTTTTTAAATGATATATATTTATTATGGTTTTGGAATGCAGACCAGATTCTTCATTTGACATAATGTGCTTTTTGGTCCAAACTTGAATAAGCTTAACCCACTGGACTAAAGTTCCTGATAAGATTTAATCTAAGTAGATCAATTAAGGCTTTGATATTGGAACAATATTAGCCTTGATTTAGTGGCTTCAACCAATAGAATAAGCTTCTTGAGTTGCTGCTAATAAATAAAGTCTAAGGAGGGACCAATAAATGAAAGAAAAAATTGATACCCTACCCATTATAAATTTTGGCATGACTCTTCGGATGCTTGATTCCTAAGATACTTCTATTATTATGTATTTTGCATCCTATTCATTCATTATAAAATGAATCTGTCACATATGAAGGTTATCATGCTAGTTCAAGTAAGATTTCGCGTTAGTGGTAAAGCATTGGTATGGTGTGCTATATACCGTTCCTACAGTGTCAGCCATATTTGAAAATGTGAAAAGGGTATATAACAACAATATTCTTGTTTATTGCCTCTTGAAATAGTTATCTAATTAAATAGCCTCGCTCAATACCTTTATTGCCTTGCAAGAAGAATAAAAACTTTGAAGTTATGTAATGTCAGACAATCTGCATATCTGGCAGCAAAGAGATAACCTTCTCCCAGTTCTTTTAACCTGGAAGCAATTAAAAAAAGCCCAAGTTTACATATGTAAACTGTTTCTTATCTATATAATGGATGAATGACATAAGTTACTTGGATAAAGCAGTCTTTGTTCCAAAGAACTTCAATTTGTTAATGATTAAAAAGAAAAAGAAGCATATTCGTAGTATCACTTTTGTTTTCATTAGTCATATTGTTATGATTTGAATGTATTTGTGACCTTGTCAGTTGTCTCCTTTAACTTTGAACAGCAAGACAATTTGCTATTCCAGAACTCTAGCCTCTCTGAAGATGCTAATCACATCATAGGGTTTTTTTTAATAGGTTATCCTCCATCAGTTTTTATTCTCAAATTCTAATTTGTCATTCAGTTCAGTTGGATACTTAATTCTGTGTTTTCATGTTACTTATGTCTTTTGATTTTTTTATTTTCATGTATTATTATCATTTGTGTTATCATCATATCTTCAGAATGTGAAGATCTTTTTCAGGGAAGACCAAGAGGTTAGCCAACAGATGTCAGATATCTCATTAGATAAACCAGCTACCAGCAAGTCTGAAGATTCCTTTGTTATTTTAGAATCAGTATCTAACTCAAAATATTCATCATCTGGGTTGTTCTCTAACCCTTTAAAAAATATTAGTGAGCCTATGAACTTTGGAAGCATGCGAGTTGACACTTCTCCTGTTAGTGAGACAATATTTGATGATGTTAATGCTTTTGATGGAATCTCAAAATCAGTGCCACTATCGCAGCAGGTGCAGTCTACAAAATCTTCTGACTTGCAAAATACTGTTGGTAGAAATGGTATTCAAAATATGGACACCTATGGAAAAAACACCACGGTGGATCAATCCCCAGAGTTTAATCAGCCTATTGAAACCAGAGATGACATCTGGCTTACTGTTTCAGAAATTCCCCTTCAGACTCAACCTACCAGTGCTCCGCCACCTTCAAGACCGCCACCTCCACTTGTCATCAAGAAAGCTCCTCTTGGTGCTTATACAAAAAGGAAGGAAAATGAATCTTTCCATGATTCTACGCAGAGCCATCCTTACACTGAAAAATCAGCTAAGCCAGCTTCAGTTGATGAACTTGAAGATTTTGCTATGGGTAAACCTAAAACATATACTCAAGTAACTCAACATCATGAAGACTTTTTCTTCAACGGAGAAGAATTACAGAAAAAATTAGCTGCAGAAGCTGCTATGAAGGAGGCCATGCATAGAGCTGAGGCAAGGTTCAAACATGCTAAGGAGGCTAGGGGAATAGATCGTGGTGCCAAAGTTTCAAGGAACGAAGAATATATAGATGAAAAAAAAAATCTAGATGGTGAGGATCTAGAAGACACACAGAGACAAGAAGGATCAGACCACGAGCGAACACTGAAGGAAAGGGAGGCAAAAGAAGAGGAAAAGAGACTAGAAAAGGAGAGAGAGCAAGAAGTTGATAGGGAAAGAGAAAAGGCTAGACAAGCTGCAGCAAGGGCTATAAGAGAGGCAAGGGATAGAGCAGGTGCTGAAGCTCGACTAAAAGCTGAGAGGGCAGCTGCTGAAACACGTCAACGAGCTGAGAGAGCAGCAGTGCAGAGAGCAGCTGCTGAGGCACGTGAAAGGGCTGCAGCAGTGGCTATAGAAAGAGCTGAAAAGGCAGCTGTAGAAGCGAGGGAAAAGGCTGCTGCAGAAGCAAAGGAAAGGGAAAGGGCTGCTGCAGAACTGAGGGAAAAGGCAGCTGCAGAGGCCAGGGAAAAGACTGCTGCAGAAGCAAGGGAGAAGGCTGCAGCTGAAGCACGAACTGCCGTAGAGAGAGCCGCAGCAGAAGCACGGCTAAGAGCCCAAAGAGCTGCAGTAGAAAGAGCTGCCGCAGAAGCTCGGGAAAGGGCTGCTGCAGCAGCTCGAGAAAGGGCTGCTACTTCTGCTGCTGCCGCTGTCAGAGAACATCAGAAAGTAGAAAATGATCTAGAGTCGTTCTTCAGCATGGGTGGTGCTCGAGCAAGTAGTGCACATACCTCATCAGTAAGAACCAAAGTCAACTATAGGTAAAGAGACTTGTGATTTTTGTAGATTATAACACGCTGTTTGGATTTCCAGGAAACTATGTTTGATGTTAAAGATCAGAACAAAGGGAGTTCTGATGGAACAAGGAGAACATCCTCAGGTTCCTCATCTACCATTAGAAAGGCATCTTCCACAACTAATATTGTTGGTGACCTGACTTCCATTTTTGGAGGTAGTATTCTTTTTTCATGCAACTTATATTTTTCTTTCTTGTACTTGTGCAGCAAGTCTTTTATTCTGATATTTTAATTTCTTGAAATATTTTTTATCTATAAAAGGCCCCCCATCATCTGGCAAATTTCAAGAAGTTGAAGGAGAGAGTGAAAAAAGAAGAGCAGCCAGACTTGAGCGTCATCAGAGGACACAGGAACTTGCGGTAATGTTCTTATTTTTGTGACATTACATAAGATACTGATAACAGGCAATTGTACTTGCATTTTGACTAGAAGTTAAAGTTAAATTCTGATTCTGTATTGTGCAATTAATATGGACTTATTCTTTGGCCTTATTGGACTTTATGTATAGGCAAAAGCTCTGGCTGAGAAAAATGAGCGTGATATGCAAATTCAGAGAGAGCAGGCTGAAAGACATGTAAGCTTTAAGTTACCTGAATGCTATAGTGAATCTCTGAAAGCCTTTTTGCCTTGTATGTGTTCACTAGGACTATAACATTAAAACAGGTGCATTAGATATCCTTTTAACATTTTCATGTCCTTGTTACAGTCATTATCTAGTTTTATACTAATTCAATATGCTCATTTCAGAGGATTGCCGAAGCATTAGATATAGAGATAAAACGATGGGCTGCTGGAAAAGAAGGCAATTTGCGTGCCTTGCTATCAACACTACAATATGTGAGGTTTTCATTAATATGGTTGAATACTTATCCATTTTGCTATGTCAACATTCTGTATGTTGAATTTCATGTGGATATGACTCGCAGGTTGGAATATATATAACTGTTTGTTACCTTTTACTAAGCCCTTGACAAGATCCATTTTCAATCAAATGTTGCTTCACTTTTGTTCAGAGTTATTGTTTCTTGTGAAATTACTGCGAGTATGATCACTAGAGTTAGAGCACTCTTGCTATGGTTCTTGGATGCTGATTTTTAGGTATACCTTGTTAATATGGTGTTTGTTTGTATGTTTCATTTTCTTGGTAGTTAGGCAAATGAGCTAGTGTCAGGTGTCACTTGAAGAAGCATAATTTGCTAGATCGGATGGTACTTGTTTGTATGTTTCTTTATAATTAGTTGGCCATATACCTCAGGTCTTTGGTACTGGAACTTTTCATGTCATGCAGTCAAAGATAGTTCTAGGCATATTTACCAATTGTGACCTCTTCTAGGATTAACTTACTAATCAGTAATCACAACTGCAATTATTTGCACACAAGGCTAGGACAGTTGAAGTGGTGAATGCCATTAAAAAATTTCCCTCTTTCTCAATAAGGTGTTTCTATTTTCTAATATTTTCTATGGACTTACTGGTAAAAAGATTTCTTATTTTTCTTTTGTCATTCCTCACTTTTTCGTTTGAATTTAGTCCTTCTCTTCATATTCATTCACTTTTTCAGTTCTTATCTAACAGATACCACCCTGTATATTTAGTCTTCTGAGCTCTTTAAGAGACAAACACTTAGTCCTAGACTTTGTACTACTAAAGTAACTCCATCTTGTTCAAGAATATAAAGCAAGGAGGAAGGCTTTTCCAGATTTAGACATGGTTGAGTGGTGCTTGAGTGAATGTTTTTTTTTTGTCACCTAGTAAACCTGCACAATCATTTGGTGAGGTTGGCAGCAAGCATGACATAATGATCTAAATGGTCCATTCTTGAGAAGTGAATGAAAGGAAGATTTACGAAGCCTTATACTTTTCTCACATAATAATTTTTAATGACATGAGAGAATTGTGAGTACCAGAGGCTCTGAAATGTATTTTATAATTCTTCTAATATTTGTTGTTTTGTAATCTCTGAATGCTTTATGCATCTGTAAATCTGCTTCACAGATTAAAGCATTGATTATGATGATGGTTATATAGGTTAGCTGCATTAGTTGGTAGTATCATAAAACTTGTGAAGCCATGCAGGGTTCCAAACAAACTTGTGATTGTGTGCCATTGTATTTGGTACATATTTATTTCTTCTCTGGAACATTTTTATTAAGAAGTAATATATGAAGTTTTCTGGGGTATAAAGAACTTTAGAAAAAAAAAAAGCCCTTGCAGACACCCAAATTTGTTGCATATATTTTTTTTACCTGTATGAACTTGTTAACATCAATGATAGAGAGATGCATGAGGACAGGAATAAGGATTTGAAGAATGGGACTGGTAGGAGAAGATGAGAATGTGCCGAAAAAGAATTGGGATGACTGTTTTGGTTCTTTTTAGATTTCACATATGCTAATTAATGTTCTTTCCCTATCTAATTGGAGTTACCATAGAGGTAGTTGATGGAGGTTAATGGCACAGATATGTACGAAAGTATGTTCAGTCTATGAGGGCACATATAATAATACTTTTTCAACTTTGTGGGAGTAAATCTGAAAATGTCAAACTCTGTGAGGATACATATGCAAGTGTTCCATAAAAATTATTTCTCATAACTAAGCTAGCAAGATATAGGTTTTTCCTTGACTTGATTTTGGCTTGCATGTAGTAAGTACAAGGGTCCATTATTCAGTTGCCTACTATAAGGACAAGGTTAATTGCAGGAAGGTTGATTTTGGGCCATAATGAGGCTTTCTGTTTCTCTAAGTTTATGCACTAAATAGGAAGTTCCTCTTTGATTTTTCTATAATATTATGACATATACATTACCCAATTAATACTATTATTCCCCCTATTAACTGATGAAGTTAGGGTTGATCATCTTGTTGACTAGGATTGCAATAGCTGAACTGGGCCTTTGTGCTGAGGTAGACAATATGAACCAAATTACAGAATAGCTGAGGTTGGACAAAGTGAAATACCAAGTTGAGCCAAAGTGGACCATCATGGTGTGAGCTTAAAATTCTGGAGTTGCTGAGCTGAGGTACTCTACCGGTATAAAAGTACTCTTAAGGTAAATCTTGTGAAACAGAAGAGACTTTGGGAATGTTTCCATCAGGGTTCTCTTCTGATGCGTAAGATAGAATTCAATTTAAGTGAAGAATAATTTAAAGTGGAGATTTAGAGCATGAATCCCAAGAAGGTAAGAGAGTTTTGATTCCATCTACTTGTGAAGGAGGTTCCCTCTACTTGTTTATCCATATTAAGATGCTATTTTTTTGTGATGATGGATGATGTGATCGATAATTAGGATCTGGGTCAGTTAGAGTGCAACACAATTTGGTAGGTGGTCTTAACTGCATCACTATGTGTCAAGCCATTGCAGTATAGTCCATCAGTTAATACTTCTTTGGTGATACCTGTTCGGTTCGTCTAATATCTCCTTATAAACTGATATAAAGGTGAAGCTAAACTTGAAAACCGGTCTAAGTTGTATGGCCAATAAACTTTACATGGTGCCTTCTCTAGTTCATTCTTTGAGGAGTTTACCTACCATTCAATGGTGAGCTACAGCAGAAAGAAGAGGGATGCGGCTTCTTCTATTAACTCTGAATCTGTGACTTGACGTGAGAGCACTTTAACCCTATAATTAATTTTGGTTAAAAAGTCAGATCTTGTATCAGCACAATTAGTCCATTTTTAATCTTGAAAGCTTATTTCTTTCTGGTATGGAAGATAAAAAATAATTGATTCATTTATTCAGACTGAATTGGTATAGGTTCTTTCCTCACTGATGCCAATATATGGCACTTAATACAAGGTGGCATGTGCCAAAAAAAAAAAATCATGGTGGCATGTGAATTTCTAATTGTTCAAAAAACTCACCAAAATTTGCTGTTCCTTGTGGCCTAGGAATAGGGTGGCTGGAATTCTCAAATTTGACTTCCAAGTAAATAATGGTCTTGTAGTTTTGGTTTCTATGACAGAAGTTGACTTAGACCTATTGTGATTGGGTTAGAAGATTGCTTTAAGTTAACCGACAGACTTGTTACCAGTAATATCATTTGATATGACATTAGAACCACATCTCTGTCTCTGACTATTCTGCCCATCTTTTTTACTATAGGTTATGTGAAAGAGTTCTGCACGAAATGAACATTGTGCTTGAGAAAAGTCTGAAGTTGTCACATCAATGTATTCTTTGAGAGGTTTGTAATAGTTGTAAACGAAAGCTTTTAAATCGTTGAAAATTCAAATCAAATTTCTGCCAGTTGTCCCTTGAAGTGACAATGGGAAATGCATCACTGTGTCTTATAGTAATAGAGTTCTGAACAAAAGTGAACCTATGCTTTTAAGAAGTCTTAAATTGTCATATCAATGCATTCTTCGAGAGGTTGATTGTAGATGTGAGTTAGGCTTTAAATCATTGAAAATACAGATGGCATTTCTGCTAGTTGTCCCCTGAAGTGACACAGGAAACTCTTCACTTTCTACTTTCTAGTATAGTGGTCTTCCCAGTTTTTACTATCGTTTTGAATAAAATGAACTATATGCTTCTAAAGTTTTAACCTTGTTGTAATAAAAGGCCACTTAATTCTGCCCTTTCTTTCTGTCATCATTGGTAATGTTTGCGAGAGTTCTGGAAAAAGGATAATACCTATTAGAACGAATATAGAAGAAAGTTAGCATGCATTGCCTTCATATTGGGCAATATGGGCTCCAAATGTCTGCTTGACATATTTTTATCACACATCAGAAGGACATTCATGCAAATTTCTAGTAGATGAGTGTAGGAGATCAAATGGGAGATGAATAAAAGCTGAGAGGGTTTTCACTGTCAATATTTCTTTGGAATGATTAGTTTTTATTAATGCAAAAGGTGACACATGAAATAAATTTTTAAAAAAGGTCTTTTTCCTCTTAGAAGAAACTTCCAGAATACTCTTTTATTTAAAAGATGAACTTTGGAGTTTTCTTATCCATAAATTTAGAGATGTCATATCCAGTTACTTTTAGTTTTTTCATTGTTTTCAAATCCCATGCAGGTGCTTTGGCCTGAATGCGGCTGGCAACCTGTATCTTTGACTGATTTGATTACTGCTGCTGCGGTCAAAAAGGTTTATAGAAGAGCTACTTTGTGCGTCCATCCTGATAAGGTGCAGCAAAAAGGTGCAACTCTTCAACAAAAGTATATTGCTGAGAAGGTTTTTGATCTCCTCAAGGTTTGTATTTAAGGGTAACTTGATCATCCTTTAGATTCTTAGAACTCATAATTTTGAACTCATGGTAATTGAACTTTTGGTCGTTATACCTTCTTGCTCATTCTTTAAGCCTGTTTGTTGTGTAAAAGTTCCAGTGTTGCTTTTCCTCATAAACAAGCTAAAAACATGAATTCAGATGTCTATGCCTTCCTGAGGCACAGAAACCTGATTCCTTGGCAATAGTGGCCATACATTCAGTTTTATAGGCACTCATGTAATTTGTTTTGTAAGTGCGTTTGTCAGCATTTAACCTGCATAGTGGCTGTTAAATTTAGAGCATTTTATCCTAGACACCAATCTATCAATTCTTTTTCTATATCAGAATCTTTAAAAGAAGTATGTGGACTCATATGGAGCCTGTGTTAGCAATGGAACCAGGGAAAGTAGAAAGACAGTTTTTCTCTAATATATAATTGATATAGTTGGCCATTCTGATTCAGTGAGTCCCTTCTTCCATCATTTGAAATTCAATTCCATCGATCTTATCATACCGAATCCCATCAATTGAATCATTTTTTTGGAGAAATATGAGACATCTAAGTCGTCCAAATGACAAATTTTATTGACTGATACAAGTTGATTTTCTATTTCATTTAATTGACGAAACAATAGCTAGACCATAGCATTTGACCTTTTTGATTGAGAATTGTATCTGTGGCTATGACTGTTCTGTCGGTCTGTCTGTCCCAGTATGAATCATCAAGGCATGGAGTGCCAATTACAGAAATAAGTTCAAGTTGGCATAATATTCTGAAATACTCAATGAAGAATTTGTAACATGATATTTGTCAGAAAATGTCTTCCACCAGATCATGATAAATTTATTACTGAGGTTCAACTTGTTCTGGATATCTGTTTTCAATTGTAAGGGAATTTTTCTATCTGTTAACAATGGTAAAAAAAAGTTTTATTCCCGATAATAGGAAGAATGACTGCAATTATTATATGTATATATATATATATATGTATATGTGTGTATATATATACATATACATACATACATATATATACATATACATACATATATATATACATATATATACATGCATATATGAAAGCTTTCACTTGAAGGAAGCTTTAGATCTATGAAGTGAAAGCAGATTCATTGATTTTGCAGCACGTTGAAATTATTTTTGACATATACTTAAGACATAAAACTTATATTGGATGTTATTTGATTTGGGATAACATCACTAACATCTTCCTTGAATGAAATAAGGTTGCTATATGTGCCTGCATCTATAGTTGTACTTGTTTGGTTTTCTAGGTCTATCAGTTTGTGAAGTTTATGACAACAGTATTCTATGAAATCCTGCTCTTCAGAATCTTCCCACTAATGTGTGCTATTGTGCTCAAATGAACAAAAGGAATAACTGATGTATCTTTTATCTTTGGAATTTACAACACAATATCCCCATTTATTTGTCAAAGCAGATTCATCAGGTACTTAATGAAGTTTTTTAGGATTCGCATTCTTTTGGACATAACTATGTTTCTTCTGCTGCATATATCTTGAACATGGAAATCCATTTTTCTCTTTGCCTATACATAAACATTTTTTAGGAAAAAAATAATTGTATTTTGCCAAGCATTTGAAATTCTTGAAGAGATGCTTAGCTGATTATTCAAACATCATTTCCTGTTGATCTTTTAGGGTGCCTATCTAATTGTTTTCTGGTCACTGCTAATAATGAATTAATATAACAGCTAAATTTTCTCTGACTAGCATAAGTATCATGTTATTGTCTTTCCACTTGGGCAAGGACACATAGCAAATCACACAATTTTTTTTATCGTTCTTTTATAATTTCTGCAAGGGTGAGGATCTTAAGGAAAAAGAAAAAGGAAATAAGAGCAGCAATAGCATAATTGAGATTTAATGACATGGGCAACATTCTCGCAGAGCTTAAATAGGGAAATTTGATATAATTCTGCATTGTTCATATCATTAGGACCCTGGTTCCAAATGCTTTAATCACTTTTATTAATAATACCCAACTGAACTTTATATTCTAACCTATTTGTTGTTAGCAAGGAAAAAACATTGGCTGTTTTGTTGTATTATGATAAGTTACATCCTTAATTTTATCAAAAGCTAAAGCAAACAACTTTCTTTTTATTTTAAATATTCTCTAGTTTGACCTTCTCCAGCAAATTCTTTACTTGGAAGTGACCATGGGCATGGGTTACGGTGGTCGCCAGGAGGTCAAGACTAGAACACAATATATATCCAGTTGTCTAACACTCCAAAATCATATGATAGCTGCTGGTGGTGTAGTGGGCACTTTACCTAAAATAAATTATGAAATATTGATAAAAAGATATTTGTTTCAGTATTATAATTGCTGTTCATATTTGAGTTATGTTGCTACTTCCATCCTCTAGAAGCTTTTCATTTCTGTCCTATATGTTGGTTGTGGATTGTCTGGTTAATATCATATCTCATCCCTTGACCCTGAAATGTTTGACAAGGCAGTGATTGCTGGTTAGGATGTTTGAAACATATGAAATTATATGCAATATTTGGCGACCTTAAAGAGGGGTAAGAGTACATGCAAGAGGAAACCACTAAAGAAGGAAGAGCTGGCATCAGATTGCCACTTCCATCTTGCCAGTATAACTTTGCAAGTTAGGAAGGAAGTTAGTTCTGGCCATATGCTCATAACTTTGCAAGTGCAGTCTAGAAAGATAAAACCTTCTAATTTTATGTGAGAAATGCTTTGATCAAATAAAGGCATGGCACAAAGACTGTGATTCTTGTAATGATACAGCCTGCCATTCTAAATGTGATTGGTACAGTTTGGCTTCGCAGCTTTCTAAAACACAATGGAATATCTTGACATGATCCATTTATTTGATCCAGAAGACCATTTTTTGGACTTAACTGGAGTTCTTGGGTTCAAATGGCTCTACAGCAAAATGAATTATTGCCCTATAACTACTGGAAAGTTGACTCTGTTGACTTATATTTTAAAAAAATCTGTTTAGTGAACAGTTTGGAGATCAGGTGATGGCCTTCAAAAGTTGGAACTTACATCTCATTACTAGCCAGCGGACTTCAAACTATTACCTGCTTTATAAACGCTGTTAAAACTTGGCATGTAATTCTTCCGGATGATCTTTTTCCTCTCTCTCTCTCTCTCTTCAATGTTGGTTTCATTAGCTTTGTTTTTATATATTGTGGTGATGTCCTTATTGTAACAATCTTTCTTAGAAATGATTCTGGTTTTCTTCTTTGTCTCACAAATATGCCCTCTTTGCGTGAAACAGGAAGCTTGGAACAAGTTAAACTCTGAAGAACTCTTTTAACAAGTCCACGAGATGACTCTCTGCTGCATGAGCTACTGCAAGGATAAGTATGTGATCATATTGAGTAAAGCCTTAGTGTGCTCTTTATTTATTATATTCTTTGTACTTCCTGTATGAGTTGATCAGTGTTGCCCTATAGACGCCTGCTGCAGTATAAATCAGTTTTCTGTTTGACTGATGGAAATGAATGCCCCTTTTTTTTTTTTCCTTTTACTTTTATCTTGAGCAAGTTGACTGAGATTTCCATTTACCGCTGACGTCGTACTAAATAATGTTGTTTCCCCTTCAATAGGCATCAGGGTTTAGATCTTCGGGTTTCCCACGTGGGTTTGGTATAATGAGGCTGCATGTGGTTTTGTTATTAGACTATAATGGTAATCTCATACCATGTCCAGTAAAAGTTAAATTACCTGTTTTGAACACAAATAATTTTTGATAAAAAAAATTATAATAATTAAGTATGAACAAGTATATCGTTAATTTATTTATAAATCAAACCATGGTTTTCTAAATTGGTCAGTCAGGTATTTGTTCGATCCATATGGGTTGTTACATGGATCAATTGAAACTGAATCGTTTGATTTAATTCTATGAATATAAATAAAAAATAAACTTATAAACTTTATTTATATTTTTTTCCAAATTAAATTAAAATGAGCTTTTAATGAGACAAGCATATTTAAATGTAATTGTCTACTATGATGATTTTTTGTTTTTATTTTTTTGTTTAAATGCAATTGTCTAATATGACGATATTTTTGTTTTGGTTTATGATGAAATTCCTAGCGTGACAGTAGCATTTGAGTTACGGTACCAATTAAAATTGCCGTGTAACAACACTGTTACACGCCACGTGTGGCGAGCGGTTTCGGACGATAAGGCGCATCCTCCTTTGAGCGGGAAACCTCCCAAATCCAAAAAGCGATTCGGTGGTGGTCATGGACGACGACGACGAGAGCGGAACCCTATCCTCGATCCTCGCCGAGCTCGATTCTTCGCTCCGCCGGCACGATGGGGACTCCCCCCTCTCTGAGCCCTCCATCCTCGGTCTCCAGTCCCTCCTCGACGCCGCCGCCTCCGGCGATGCCGCGTTCGCACTCTGGGATCTCCTTGCCGCCCGAGGACTCCCTGCCTCTGCCCTCCTCCGTCCCCTCTCCGCCTCCATGGACGTCTCCGCTCCCCGCCTCTCTCTCCTCTCCGGCCGTGTGTACCTCTCTCTCCTCCTCTCCCCGTCCTCCCCTCTCTATTCCCTCTTCAACCCCCTTGTCTTCCTCTCCCTCCTCCGCTCCCTCCGTCGCGCCCTCAAGCCCCTTCCCTCGACCTCCGCCGCCTCGGCCACTGCCCTTCCGGAGGCCTCCCATGACGCCCCCGCTCCCCGGAGGAGCGCCCGGAAGAGGAAGCCTGGACGATCTGCTGGAAGCGCTTCGACGTCGGTGGATCAGATTTCCGACCTCAGCAGCCTACTTCCTCGCGTCCTCGAACTGCTTGATTCCGTGCTCTGCCGAGTCCGGCTTGACAACACCCCTGATGCCGTAAAGTCATTGGTCGATACTGTGGCAAAAATCCTGAGCTCTTCCTCCGGTCACCACCGGCTTCCGGATCTCTGCTTCCTAGTACTCTACAGGATCGTCTCGAAGCCAGAGCACGGAGACCAGACGACTTTAGCTGTTGAGGTTCTGCGATCACTGACGCCGATGATCTTATCTCCTGCAAAATCAGCATCCCGGGCTTCTGCTTTAGGTTTTGTTACTGAAAAGATGGTGCCTCTGGCCCAGGAGAATGATGCAGTGAAGGAAGCTCTGGTGTACCTACCTAGGTTCTTAGCGACAAAGGCACCGGAGAAGTCTGAGCTGAGAGTTTGTGCTGTTGATTCCATCATGGTGATTGTTCGGGCAATGAAGCAAGAGGATCAAATAAGATACGCCGATTATGTGGTGAAGATGACACAAGGGAAGCCTCAGCTAAGACTGTTGGCTGTAGACCTCATTCTAGCACTTTTGACATTGTTGCCCGATCCTCTTGGGGTAAAGGGATCGGCTCAGGAATTTAACGACAAGGCATGGGGACTGACTTGTCTGCAAGCATTAGTACAGCGTTGCTCAGATTCATCACCGGGAATCAGAGCTCGAGCTTTAACAAATACAGCACAACTGCTAGGCAGCTTAACTGGTGATTCTGGGAATTCTGCCCGTTTGTGGGAACTCTCAGGAATCAGCAGTGTGGACTTCAATGAGCTTTTGTGGAGGAGGTGTCAGGATGATAAGGCTGTTGTAAGGAAGGCAGCACTTCTCCTCATTACAAAGTCGACTACTATAATGCGAGGGCCATTAGATGATTTGCTCCTTAGGACACTGAGTTCTGCTTGCTCTGACCCTTTGGTCAGCATCCGCAAAGCAGCTGTTGCAGCTCTATCAGAGGTGAAGTCATGTCAATTTTTTTCTCATTTTGTATTCTTTTACCACCAAATATCATACTTATAATTAGGTGCTTGTTGGTTATCTTTGTAGGCCTGCAGAGTCTTCCCTGATGACAGGGTAATACCTGAATGGCTTCATGCTGTGCCACGCTTGATTGTTGATAATGAGTCAAGCATCCAACAGGATTGTGAGAATTTGTTTCTTGAATTGGTCTTGGATAAAATCTCTCAAGCTGCTAAGATCAATTTTGGAAAAGATGCAACAGATTTGGAGTCCTTGCTTCCTAAAGGTATTTTACGTTTGTTGAAAGGGATTTGTGACAGTGAAGTGGCACCATGTGTCAGAAAGATATGTTCAAGCCTTGGAAAGAAGGAAAGAATTAAGATGTCAGTTGCAAGTTCACTTCAGAATATAATTACAGCATCCGAGTCTGTATGGTTAGGCAGTAGCAAGCCCATAGAGAAGTGGACGGCCCCTCCTGGGACCTGGCAATTGCTTTCTGAAGTGTCATTGTTCTCACCCAAGGCCATAGAATGGGAATTTCTCCATCACCATTGGCATCTTCTTGACAAGATTAGCCTAGAAGATCAAGGTAAAAATTCTGAAGAAGGGGACCAGAGCTCTTTTATGTGGGCTGGAGATCGTGTTCACCTTTTGCACACCATTTCTAATGTGTCTTTGGAATTGCCTCCTGAGCCTGCTACAGAGTTGGCTTGCAACTTACTAGATCGTCTTAAGAACTTCAGTATGAACTTAAGCGAGGTAAACATCAATTGTTTTACAATGTGTTCTATCATCAAAATTATGTCAGCGAGTTAAGAATTTGTTTTATTAAATCTTTAACCACAGAGCTATTTATTCAAAAAGTAAGTATTCTCTTTCTTTTGACATGAGGAGCTTATATCTTTTGTTGACTTGAACCATGATTGTTTATACCAGTCAAGAATTTGTTTTATTAAATCTTTAACCGCAGAACTATTTGTTCAAAAAGTAAGTATTCTCTTTCTTTTGACATAAGGAGCTTATATCTTTTGTTGAATTGAACCATGATTGTTTATACCAGTCAAGACATTGAGATATTTTATCTGGATATTTTCTAGCATGAATTACGATCACCACAATCAAGTTGTTTAAGTTAGCCACAAAATAATTGAAGACAAGTGGTGCAGAATAATATTCCCCACTGTTGATAGCTAAAATTGCTAAAAAGAAGTGCCAAGAGTCTTTTTAATCAAAATATTTGTATTGGTTGAAGCATAATATTATTTTACATCAGTTTTTCTCAATCTGATAGTGCTTTTTGATGGTAAGATATGATGCCAAATCAACCATACTAGTCACTAGCAATAACACTTCGATTTCTCATATCGAAATTGGACTAAAACTAATATTGACTTATAAGGGTCTGATGGGTGTACTACCATTAACTTTAACTTAAGCATTTTGGCTAGTAGTTTAAGTCAATGAAGTTGATAGGTCAATTATCCTATCAGGTTGGGTTATAACATTTGGTATTAGAGCCGATCTAGTATTGGGGCATGGTGAGAGGGTTTGAGTAGGAAAGAGCTATCCATGGACGAAGTTAGAGAATTTGTCATGGCGTAAAGCCACCACTAAGCTATATCTCACATGCATTATACTAGGATTTGATCTATGCTATACTGGGCCTTAACAAGGATGTCAAGCCCTTAAGTGGGGGAGTTTGTAATAGCTCGATTAGTCCCACAATGGAAATGAGCTAAGACTACGATTGACTTATAAAAGGATCTAATAATTGTATTACTATCAACTTCAACCTATGTATTTTAGCTAATGGTTAGGGTCAAATAAAATTGATAGGCTAGTTATCCCATCAGATTTGGTTGTGATACTAACAATTTAAGTTAATCGAAAGCTTTCACTATTGCTTTATTTTTTTTAGTTTATTTTCTTATAATTTTAGTAGTGTTCAAAATAGTGGTTTAAAAAGGCACTTAGGCACTCAGGTGAGGCAAGTCTAGGCTCGAGTGCCTCATATAGTGATCAAGCTACGTGCTTCAGTGAAGCGCCACCTGGGCACTCAGTTGAACCGAGGTGTTTTGGTAAGCGCTTGGTTAAAGCACAGCAATCGAATCATATGATCAAGTTCAGTTCAGCTGAACAGTAGTTTAGTTGGTTCACACTAAAAGCCCACATGCAACCTCGCCTGACGCATGACTCTGACTCATAAACCTTGCTTCCGCCGCTGACACATAGGACTGATGCTTCCTTTGTTGCCGACGGATGGGTCCATAGTAACACTAAAACCCCACACACAAGCCCCCTGACGTATGACTCCAACCCATAAACCTTGCTTCCGCTACTGACGCACAGATCGATTCTCCCTCTGTCGTCACTGCTGACTCCAACCCATAAACCCTACTTGCTGCTTTCTTGTGTAGCTCCTTTCCATCGTCGAGGGATAAGATTGCAGCTTCCTCCATCGTCAACGAACACATCTGAAGCCTCCTCCGCCCACGACATCGCTATTCGTAGCTTCTACCACCGTCATTGCCATCATCCGAAACTTTCTCCGTTGATGCTGCTGTCGTACACAACTTCCTCCGTCGTCGCTGCTATCGTCCGAAAGTTCCTCTGTCATCTCCACCCTCTCCTTCCCCACTTTCCATTGTGGTGACTCTTTACTCCCCTCTAACTATTGTTGACAGTGGATTAAATATTGTTAACTATCGTTACCATATAATAGTCCCTATTTAGATTTTAGCATTGTAATCTCTATTTATTTAGAACTGTTATTAGGGTTTCAGAATTTATGGGAAGTGTATAAAGCAATTCAAAAAATTCATCAAAAAATTTAAGAAATGATCCTGCTTAAAAATACAATTATCTAAAGGATCCTAAAGGTCCTAATGCAATTACTTGCATTTTTTGTTATAAGACTACTAGAGGTTTTATTTTCTGTGCAAAGTAGCATCAAGTAGGGAACTTTAAGAATGCATCAGCATGTAAGAAGCGTCCACCTGATGTAAAAAAGAAGTTGCTCGTTTATATGATTGAAAAGGAATAAATCTTATAAGATTTTACCCGAGAAAAATATTTATTATATTAGAGATGATAAAGAAGGGGATTATTCAGAAAGTGTTAATGCTAGTGGAAAAGAGTATTTGACAGAAAAAGAAAAGAAGTAATGATTATTAAGAAGGGTAAAAAGGGACCGATGGACTTATATATGCAGTGATTTCAATAGGCGCTCGGGCGCTCGCTTAGGCGCTCGGGCGAGGCGAGGCGAGGCCCGAGCGCCTCGCTTCATGTCCAGGCGCCTCACTTCAAAGAGGCGTCGCCTAGGCGCTCGCCCGAGCCCAGGCGTCGGGCGCTTCGGGCGAGCGCCTGGGTTAAACCAGGCGACTGAACCAGATTTTTAGGTCTGGTTCGGTTGTTAGTTGGTTCAATCGAACCAACTAAACCGATATACCCCCAACCCTAACCCTTACCCAACCCTAACCTGCCGCCGCTACCGCTGCCGATCCCGATCGCGATCTCGCTGCTCGTCGCTCCTGCTCCCGCTACCGCTGCTCGCCGCTGTCGCTGCTCGCGCCTCCCACGAGCCTTCCCACTGCTCGCGCCTCCCGCGAGCCTTC